AATTACAGATTTAAAATTAATGTGATTCATTGTAGATGAAAATAATCTTTATGCGGGAAGATTTCTTGGATTCTCCGTCTATATATCAGAAACAGAGAGCATAGATAATGGCAGTTTATGTTTCCATGACACCGAGTACAACAGGACAACAATACCAGCTGTCGTTTGTCACAATCAATATTTAATTTTAATTGCATTTACATTATGTTTATGGTTTTTATTTTATTTACCCTTTACTGGACCTCTATACTTTTGTTACCTTATTGAACCTCAGTTAAGTTTTGCAGGTATTGGTCAGTTACGACCTATTGTATTTTGGGGTATTTAAATCGCTGCATAGCTGACCAGGTAACCAGGGTCCACGTTTTCATAGCTTTTAAATGGTTGACATACAGTCCAAGATGAGTGGCTAAATTTTTTCTTTCAACGGTAACCATTTCTCCAAAGGGGTAAGTTTGTTTTTTATTTCATATGTAAGTTTTTGAGTAATACATTTAAAACGTAGAATTATTTAAGAACTTGAGTTAATTAATGTTTTTGTTACTATTTACGTATACAGGTTTTGCTGGGTAGAGTTACTCATGCGTTTATTGTTCTATTTTTGTGCAATGTACTGAGTTATATACGCACGTAGGCTATTTTGTTTTGCCGCTTATAAAGTCGGTGTTGTGGGTTTAATAGTTAAAACCACTTTTGTTAAGATGTTGTGTATTCTTAACGTTTTTCTTATTATAATAGTGTTCGGTTAAAATTACCGGGACTGATTGTATGGTGTGCCATAAGTGCAATTGTAGTCAATGGTGACTTGAGTTTTCCTTTTGTATACGTGGCTTGTGACTTAAAAAATGTTATTTAATTCAAAGGTTCCTGATGTTATCCAATGTTAATCTATCCATGTGTGTGTTGGCAATGAACTTACCAGACCGGGATACCCACTGGGAGCCAGTTGGCGGGAGTCCGTCGTGAAACGGGTCGTGTCTGGATAGACGTGGTTTAGAGTCAACGATATTGAGGATTAATAAAGACTTTAATTTCTGTGTGTTGTAAATAATAGCTGTAAAAATATGTTGTAAATATTGTTTTTATTGATTTTATTTATAGATAAAAAAAAAATTGTAAATAGAAAAAAAGATCTTGTTATATCTGACTGGACAGAGCACGACGGCTGTCGTGACAAATTGGTGTCAGAAGTGGGATGATTAGTCTGTTCAGTCAGGAGTATTTTTGTATATTACACTTATGTTTTTTTTTTCTTTAATCATTTTTGTTGTATTTTGCAGTCAAAGAGTTTGTAGATTTTTGACAGTCTCAGGGTGTGAGTACTTGGTTTATTGATGGAGCCCCAAATGGAGAAAGCTAGGTTACCGTTGCTTTGTTTCGTATGAATTGAGTTTGTATACTTAATTTATCTGTTGAGATACTAGTATACACATTTTTGAGAAAGATTTTTCACATTTCATTTTTGTTTTGAAAATCAATGTTGTTCTACTGGGTTGTAGTAATATTTTTCATATTTAGTCAGTTAGTGTTTAGTTCTATTACAATGTCGACATTGAAAGAACTTGCAGAATATGGACAGAGTCTGAACTTGACTGGTGCGGACTTGCAGCAGTTTATACAGCAATAACAGGCACATCAGCGTGAGCTACGAGCGGCGGAAAGGGAGAAAGAGAAGCAGGACAGGGAGTATCATCTCAGTAGAGAAGCACTTGAAATTGAGAAACTCAAACTACAGGAAAAGAAAGGTATGGAAGAGATTGAGAGTAAATTCATGCAAACTATTCAAACCTTAGAGCAAAAGTTAGCTGTAAAGGAGTCAGAAACGAAATCAGAAAATCCTAGTAATGCAAAGTTTCCAAAAATGCCTGTATTCGATGAAGTTAAGGATGATATTGATTCTTATTTGAGACGTTTTGAAAGGTACGCTGCAGCACAGAAATGGAAGTTTGACAGTTGGGCTGTTAACTTGAGCGCACTACTCAGAGGTCGTGCACTGGATGTGTATGCACTGTTGCCGCAGGAGAAAGCGTTGGACTATGATGCTTTGAAGACGGCGTTACTAAAAAGGTTTGAAAAGACGGAGGATGGATTTCGTCAAAAGTTCCGTAAGAGCAGACCTGAGGTAGGGGAAACTTTTTCACAGTTTGTTGTTCGTCTCGGTAGTTATCTCGATAGGTGGATTGAACTTGGTCGAGTTAACAAGACTTTTGATGGCCTCTACGATTTGATACTCAGAGATCAGTTTCTGTTTATGTGTAACAAAGAATTGACATTGTTTTTGAAAGAACGCATACCGAAAAACATCAGAGAAATGTGTGATTTAGCAGATCAGTTTAGAGAGGCAAGGCATGTTAACATTCAGACATTAGATCATTTTAGCAAGAAAGAGAACTCTCCAGGAAAAAGTCAGGCATCGAGAGAACAGGAACAGCGAGATCAGAAGCCAGGATTGAAGTTTCAACCCATGAAAACTCCAATGAAGAACTTAGACCTCTTCCTGACAAAGTTTCCGCCATTCACACCTTTACCCAACCTTCAACGAAGAAGCAAGTGCGATCATTTTTAGGTCTGGTAGGATTCTATCGCAAATTCATTCCGAATTTTTCAGCTATTGCTTCGCCTTTAACAGATCTTACCAAGAAAGGCCAGCCGAACAAAGTGATTTGGAAAGAACCACAGGAAAATGCATTCATCACTCTCAAGAACGCTTTAACGGTAACACCAGTTCTCAAATTACCTAATTTGAATGAAAGCTTTGTTTTACAGACAGATGCGTCAGATCGTGGTGTTGGGGCAGTTTTGATGCAGTACGAAGATGGTGTGAAGAAATCTGTCGCATACGCTAGCAAGAAACTTTCCAAATGTCAGGTAAATTACTCTACAATCGAGAAAGAGTGCTATGCGATAATCTGGGCAGTTCAAAAGTTCCGCAGGTATTTGTATGGTAAGGAATTCCTACTAGAGACAGATCATCAACCACTAGTATATCTTACCAAAGCCAAGGTGTCTAATGCACGTCTGATGCGCTGGGCATTACTTCTGCAACCATACAGGTTTCGCATTATTTCCATCAAGGGTTCTGAAAATGTAGGAGCTGATTGTCTTAGCAGAATTTAGATATGTATATAATTATGTATAGTCGATTTTATGCTTTTATTGATTGTGTTTTTTCAAAAGTTCGTTGAACTTTCTTATGTTGGGGAGATATTGTCACAATCAATATTTAATTTTAATTGCATTTACATTATGTTTATGGTTTTTATTTTATTTACCCTTTACTGGACCTCTATACTTTTGTTACCTTATTGAACCTCAGTTAAGTTTTGCAGGTATTGGTCAGTTACGACCTATTGTATTTTGGGGTATTTAAATCGCTGCATAGCTGACCAGGTAACCAGGGTCCACGTTTTCATAGCTTTTAAATGGTTGACATACAGTCCAAGATGAGTGGCTAAATTTTTTCTTTCAACGGTAACCATTTCTCCAAAGGGGTAAGTTTGTTTTTTATTTCATATGTAAGTTTTTGAGTAATACATTTAAAACGTAGAATTATTTAAGAACTTGAGTTAATTAATGTTTTTGTTACTATTTACGTATACAGGTTTTGCTGGGTAGAGTTACTCATGCGTTTATTGTTCTATTTTTGTGCAATGTACTGAGTTATATACGCACGTAGGCTATTTTGTTTTGCCGCTTATAAAGTCGGTGTTGTGGGTTTAATAGTTAAAACCACTTTTGTTAAGATGTTGTGTATTCTTAACGTTTTTCTTATTATAATAGTGTTCGGTTAAAATTACCGGGACTGATTGTATGGTGTGCCATAAGTGCAATTGTAGTCAATGGTGACTTGAGTTTTCCTTTTGTATACGTGGCTTGTGACTTAAAAAATGTTATTTAATTCAAAGGTTCCTGATGTTATCCAATGTTAATCTATCCATGTGTGTGTTGGCAATGAACTTACCAGACCGGGATACCCACTGGGAGCCAGTTGGCGGGAGTCCGTCGTGAAACGGGTCGTGTCTGGATAGACGTGGTTTAGAGTCAACGATATTGAGGATTAATAAAGACTTTAATTTCTGTGTGTTGTAAATAATAGCTGTAAAAATATGTTGTAAATATTGTTTTTATTGATTTTATTTATAGATAAAAAAAAATTGTAAATAGAAAAAAAGATCTTGTTATATCTGACTGGACAGAGCACGACGGCTGTCGTGACAGTTAACATCACGTGCCAGTTGTACGGCCAATATGTTATTTATTATAACGAACGGAAACCCGACGAAGAATACCCACCTGGTTATTCTCAGTATGCCTACCTTGAACTCTGCGAAGTTGAAGTTTATGGTAAGATTCATCATTTAAAGCCATATATGACGTACCTGATCAAAAAGTATATTTTTGAAAAATACAAAATTAAGTAAAGAAATATAGTTAATACATATAAATTAAAGCTTTTCATAAAATTTTGAACGCGGAGAACACCTCTTTTCATCTAATAATACGATTTTATCTTCTCTGTAATGTGTTATTTAAATCTTTTGTATTTTCTTCAGAGTCGGAGAAAATTCCGAGAATCCAAATTAAATTGTGATATCTTTATAACGCAATTGACTTAGATTTTGTAATTTACGGAAAAGTTCTACCTTTATATGAAGTAATGATACAAATAATAAGTTCTTATAATTGTAGTCTAATAATTTTCATTGTACATACGCCATATATGGCTTTAATTAGTTAACAAACTAAAAGAATGAGCCAGGAAAAAATTAAAAAGATTGAAAGTATTTTACAAACTTCTTTGTTCATTACATGGAATACTAAACGTATATTTCAAATATATAATTAAAAATGCTTCAGCATAACTTTTGTTTAGCATATACGTGTTTTACAGAGATTTACAAAATTCTTGACTATCTCAAATTATATGTTTTTGTAACTATTGAATGCATCTTGTACAGACTATTGAAACTTAATACATGTAGGATGCGCATTAGGATATTATGGATCAAACTGTTCACTCAGATGTCCCATACATTGCCAAAATTGTGATACAGAAACAGGTGCCTGTTTGTGGTGCGATATTGGATATAGAGGAGAAAATTGTGATTTCTGTAAGTATTCAAACTTAATAAAATACTTTTTCTCAAAGATTAATTTTACATATTACAAGAAATGCCTGGTTAACTTTTAATTTGAAAAAAAAAATATGTATTTTTCAGTATTCCTACCTTAAAAATCATCTACAATGACAAACTAGCCAAAATCTCATTAGATTTTTCTGCATTATTCATGAGTTTTTGAAACTCATATGAAAAGACCCCCTGAAAATTAAAAAAAAAAAAAAACTTACCTTCAATATATCGCTAGTGAATCTGTCACAACCTTGATTTTACTTTACATGGAGTCTTCTTGGAGTGTATGAGTTTTCTATCCGTCAAAAAGGGATATTATTAGACTCCTTCAATAAGATTTTAAGGTAGCCCTAAAATGAAAGAGACCAGCTTGGAAATTTTGAACCATATCAAATATTTTGTCCCTTTGATGTTCAATGAGAAAAAAAACTTCACGGAGACAATTCAAGTGGATAAAGCTAGAGAGTCTCTACAAACTCTTGCTATATTGGACCGAGGGTAAACACACTCGAAAAAAATATGCAAAGGACACGCGCAGTAGGTGGAACATCAACGTAAAGCTATCGAACAAAAAACCTTAAATTTTAATTGTACAATCGTTCATGAAAAATGTAATAAATTTTGCTTACTTTAATTATAGGAGTTTAAGTGTTTATAAGAGTGCGATGTAAAGCTGGCAGGATAAATAACCCGATCTTGACGTGTCTCTGTCCATGTAACATCATTGCCACGGATGGTTAAAACATTTCTTGTCCTCTCTGAAGACGGGTTAGGCATAAAAAGGAGAGAAATTTATAAGATACTGCACAGGAAACCCCATTGAACTTCTGTCAATTGTACCATGGTTGAAAAAAAAATCATATTGACTGTTATTATCTAAAAATCGTTTACACCTCAGGTGCATCAACTGGTGCATGATATCTGTTTTCATCAATTTGCAAGTGATTGTGCCTTTTAAACACTCTTCCTGCGTTATATCATGCATTTCTCGGATGAGTAGTTGTGAACACTGAATTTTGTTTTTATATAGTAACCGAAATTCTCATCTGACAGGGTTTTTTTTTATTTGTGGTAATATAGCCCACATGTATTATAAATGATGCACGTACCTATATTTTTAAATATAAACAAATATTATCAGATAAAAACTTAAATATGATTAATTTTCGAATTTTTTGTCAATAAGGTAGAGGGAACCTAGGCAGGTTATTAACACTTTGTTCCAAGCATTGTTCCAAGTCTGTTTAAAGCTGTCAGAAGCACGGATGTAGAAAAGTTATCATAGTTCTAAAAAAATAAGTTATAAAGAAGGTTTAAAGTGAGGAAAAAAGAATATATCATGTCCCCAAAATAATGAAGCGTCCTTTCTGCAATTGCTCTTTCTCTTGAGCTGGATAAATATATCTCCCAACGCCATAGTCCATCCAGTGTTGCTCTATCGACCTTGCAGAATTATTTTCCTTTAAAATACTAAGTCATCTCTTTTTGTTCACCTTAAGCCCCCCGACATTGTAACTGTATAATTCCTTTTGATATGTTTTAATACATCAAGCAAACTTTTATTTCTATTTTTCTTTATAATTCTTCAAAGAGGCATACATGTGTATGATGACGTATGATGTCGAACCATCATTGGTCGGGATCGTCTACTTCTTCAAAATTTATATTCAATAAATGTTTTAATTCACTATATAAAAAATAAAGGAAAAAATAACTCCTATGATCTCTATTTTTTTCATTATTTAGAGAGTTCTGATTCTTTTTATTCCATGAGAGTTTTTTTACAGACAAGTAAAAAAAGAAGCCATGTCTTCTTCCGGTTTGCATTGATTCAATGATTAACGGAGGCTTGAGGCTTAGAAAAAGTTTATTCTCGCGAGTGGAAGTTGAATGTTTAAAGAAAAAAAAAGTCATCCACTTTTAATTTTTATCATGGACATAACTCTTGAAAAACAAAAAATAGTCACGTGAGTGTTGATCTAGAAAAAGATTTCGAGAGGAAAAGGCTAAGTCAAGATCGAGCCATGCTTTTCATCATCTCTGTTATAAAGTATATTTATTATGAATTACCATCTTTTTTATCGCTGTTCGATCTATGGTTACTGTGATAACAGAAAAAGAAAACCTCCCATATTTTCAAAATAACACAAGTATTTTTCTTTTATAAGCTTGCGTATCGGGGACCTTTGGAGCAAACTGCACCAGTCAGTGTGGACACTGTGCCGGGTACTGTGACCATAGATACGGCAATTGCTCTGGAGGGTGTACACCAGGGTATAATGGGATAATCTGCAAGGAAGGTATGTTGAATTCTCTGTAATAGAGTCTTATTTACTAGTATACGTCATTCTGTCCCTTTCAAAATTTAACTTCCTTGATTATAATTTTAAAACCTTCTAGCATAATATCTGAAAATACTTAACCTGTAATTTATAATCTTAATTGGTATGTTAGAAGAACATTTAAATCAAGCTGTAAAATATGTGAGGGAAAATGCTTTTATATCAATGGCTTTTTTTCAGGGATGTTAGTCTAGGCATCAAGGAAATATTTTCAATGACCGTAATTGCAAATAAGCTTCATATAACTTCTTCCATAGTAGATTTTTTTTAGACTTTGATAATACTTTAACTTCCGAATTGTTTTCCTGCAGGTCGTTTTATTATCTATCGATTAATCCATATATCCCAAATTTTATGTTAAGGCAAATATTAAGAGAATTATTACCAAAACAAAACACTAGAATATCTTTTTTGTAAACCGATGTATTCAAGTGAAAACTTTATTTAACATACGAAAAGACACATCTGGTACTATATGGGGTTTGAAGGTTCTTGAGTCAATCGAGTGACAAAGTGAAAACTGTATTCGTCTCGCATGTGAGTTAAGGCTATATACGGAGGTTTCTATGCAAAATATTAATTAAATTCCATAATTGCTCTACTTACCGCACAGAAAATGTTAAGACTTGTTTTCTAATACATTCTTTGTTCCCACGACATGCGATAGCCAATACACATAAGGCGTCATATTATGACGTCATCGACCTCTACTACACAAGTTTATAAGAAACATCAACAAAATTGCTTCGGCGCAAGGGCATACCTTACTTTGTTTTACATAAACAAGGTTTAAAAAGACGCAGGATATTCCAAGGATTTAAGATATTGCTGCACAAATGTCGGCACTTGAAGTGTTTAGTTCCTATTCGTGCAGTTTTAAGTTTGAACAGGGTAAAAATTTACAGTCCAGTGTAAGCTTCTTAAAATTTTTATCGATTGAGAAAGTGCATAGGATTTGTGCAGCAATTTTAATAATGTTAAGAATATTCTCTTTAATATTATACATAGTTTATTTCAAATTAGATAGGATATGCCCTTGCGCCGACGTGATTTTGTTGATGTGATCTATTACCTTGAATGGGAGAGAACAATGACGTCATAATATGACGTCATAATGTGCACTTGCATCAATTAACTTTGGGTACTAAATATATATAAGAAAATCAATTTCAACACTCTCTGTACATAAAATATACAACTTATGAATTTTTATTAGCTCATTTGCATAGAAATATCCATATTTAGCCTTAACTCACTTGCGCTGTAGTGACTGTCGTGCAGCAAGTAAAGTTTGTCGTTCGTGAGCCGTCGGGATCGTCTACTTCTTCAAAATTTATATTCAATAAATGTTTTAATTCAATATCTAAAAAATGAAGGAAAAAATAACTCCTATGATCTCTATTTTTTTCATTATTTAGAGAGTTCTCGTTCTTTTTATTCCATGAGAGTGTTTTTACAGACAAGTAAAAAAAGAAGCCATGTCTTCTTCCGGTTTGCTTTGATTCAATGATTAACGGAGGCTTGATGCTTATAAAAAGTTTATTCTCGTGAGTGGAAGTTGAATGTTTAAAGAAAAAAAAGTCATCCACTTTTAATTTTTATCATGGACATAACTCTTGAAAAAAAAAAAAATAGTCACGTGAGTGTTGATCTAGAAAAAAGATTTCGAGAGGAAAAGGCTAAGTCAAGATCGAGCCATGCTTTTCATCATCTTTGTTATAAAGTATATTTATTATAAATACCATCATTTTTATCGCTGTTCGATCTATGGTTACTGTGATAACAGAAAACGAAAACCTCCCATATTTTCAAAATAACACAAGTATTTTTCTTTTATAAGCTTGCGTATCGGGGACCTTTGGAGCAAACTGCACCAGTCAGTGTGGACACTGTGCCGGGTACTGTGACCATAGATACGGCAATTGCTCTGGAGGGTGTACACCAGGGTATAATGGGATAATGTGCAAGGAAGGTATGTTGAATTCTCTGTAATAGAGTCTTATTTGCTAGTATACGTCATTCTGTCCCTTTCAAAATTTAACTTCCTTGATTATAATTTTAAAACCTTCTAGCATAATATCTGAAAATACGTAACCTGTAATTTATAATCTTAATTGGTATGTTAGAAGAACATTTAAATCAAGCTGTAAAATATGTGAGGGAAAATGCTTTTATATCAATGGCTTTTTTTCAGGGATGTTAGTCTAGGCATCAAGGAAATATTTTCAATGACCGTAATTGCAAATAAGCTTCATATAACTTCTTCCATAGTAGAATTTTTTTTAGACTTTGATAATACTTTAACTTCCTTTTCCTGCAGGTCGTTTTATCATCTATCAATTAATCCACATATCCCAAATTTATGTTAAGGCAAATGTTAAGAGAATTATTACCAAAACAAAACACTAGAATATCTTTTTTGCAAACCGATGTTTTCAAGTGAAAATTTTAGTTAACATAAGAAAAAAAAAACATCTGGTACTATATGAGGTTTGTAGGTTCTTGAGTCATTCGAGTGACAAAGTGAAAACTGTATTCGTCTGTAGTGACTGTCATGCAGCAAGTAAAGTTTGTTGTTCGTGAGCCGTAAACCTCTGGATATTGTTAACTTCAACCCATAAACTGCTGAATTGAATTCAACTTTGTTGGGTTTTTACAATGTACCATGTACATGTATGGGCAACATGGAGTTGGAATTGGATGGATTTACTGGTCCACTCTCTCTGGTTGCCACGGGATGGACCAATTAATATCAATGGATAGATTATTTTGAAAATGGACTGTTTTTCTTGAGTCAAAATGATCCTAGGATTATAACGACCAGTGTTTTACCGAACTTGTAAAACTTATGGACTCTGTCCTTGTGTGTTTTAGCAAGAATACATATATCTCTTGTACTATTATAATAAGTAGTTTCTTCAGACAAAGTGTCTCTGATTAAAGACTTTTCATCCTAGGCTTTTTGTGTTGTAAACTGGCATCAATTTCTTAATATTCTTTCTTGACTCTGATTTTTTTGGAAACATACTGAGTTTTAGCTTAGGCTTGGTTCAAGAATATCTGGTTACTATCTGCTGAATGAGGTTTAAATATTTATCTATAGATTTTTCTTTCATTATATTACCAAATACATTAACAGTAAATTAGATAAATAATATTTACCTATATATTTTTTAAATATAAATTATAAAAACAAGATATTGCTTTTGTTTACTTTAGAATGTGCTCCAGGTTCGTATGGTGCTGATTGTGAGGAATATTGTGGACAATGCATAGGAGAATGTAATCACGTGCATGGAACGTGTCATGCAGGATGTCAGACGGGATACAAAGGATTAACATGTAAAGCAGGTACAAAATATCTATTGAAATTCGAATTAGAATATACCTTTTTAACGCAAGTACCTTTATATAAAAGCAATTTTAATATATTGATATGTCTTCAACTACACACGTATTTAGGCTTTAAATTTAAGTTAATATTCATTGGCGCTTTTAGTTAGGTAAAAGAAAGATTTTTTTTTAATTTCGAAGGTCTCATTATTATTCGTGTTCTTGAAAACGTTATCATGCGAACGAATTTTTTTAAAAATCCTATTTCAATTACAAAATGAACATTTCAAGTATTTTATAAAAGAAAAAGAAAAAAACATTACCAATACTTCGTTATTGATAGAGCATTTTTCAGAGAAATAATTTGAATGCTTGCAAAGAAAAACAGTTCTTTACCGGATGTGTTCTATCGCGTATTAAGAAAAGTTTGAATAAGTCATAAGTTGTTGAATGCTGTTAATTTCCAAAAAAATACAATGTATAGAAAAATTCATTGAATATAATTTTATGTATTTTGATGATTAAATCTTTATATCAAATAGTTGCAGTAGTTCTTTTCAATGAATGATGCAGTAAATACATTTAATATGTTTTGCTAAATAACATCAATTTATACTCAGTCTATACTATTTATTTAGAGTGTGCATCAGGAACCTATGGAAAAGATTGCAGTAGTAGATGTGGTGAATGTCTTGGAGTCTGTGATCATATAAATGGACTTTGTCCAAGAGGTTGCAAAGCAGGTTATGAAGGGATTAAGTGTAACAAAGGTTCTTTATTTTTCTTTTAATGTGTTTTATATACATTGAATTGATTTTTAAATAGATCTCGTACAATTAGGATAGGACTCAACTCTGTAGACTGATGAAGCTGATCTTACAAGAAAAGTATGTCAGCCTCTTTATATCATCTGATATTTCGATTTTTCTTCTATCTTATAGAATGTACTGTGAATAGATATGGTGCAAATTGTAGTGAACATTGTGGAGAATGCGTGGAAGGATGTAGTAATGTTGACGGAATTTGTGTTGGAGGATGCAAGGCTGGATACAAAGGGGGGACCTGTGATGAAGGTACGCAGTCCCCATAGGCCTTTTTTTAAAGAAGGCGGGTCTTATTCAAACAAGATACCTTCATGTTACATAAAAAAAAAATCTTTATAACATCATGTACTAAAAAATTGATCAACTGTGTTTCCAAAACTTATTAGAGTATAAATTATTTTCAACACTATAACAAAATTAATTTCATATTCAAAATTAACATAGAATGTTTAATTTAGAGAACTGCTAGGCAGGCAATTGTCGATGTACCATGGTAAAATATTTATTTTTAGTGCGGGACTATCAGACAGGAAAACTAAATCTAATGCAGAGTTGTTTATTATCTAATTTCAAACAGTATTATGTTGATTTCATATATTCCTATAATTTTTCATATTTAGTCTTATCGATGAGAGAGAGAGAGAGAGAGAGAGAGAGAGAGAGAGAGAGAGAGAGAGAGAGAGAGAGAGAGAGAAATTGTTGCTTCAATCGAATGTAGTATCTAAGAACATTTTTTTATTTAATATTATAGCTTGTGAATTCGGATATTTTGGAAAAAACTGTCACCAAGAATGCAGTATGTTTTGCTTCACTTCTCGGAACTGCAGTAGATTTAGTGGACATTGCGAATTTGGATGTAAACTGGGATGGAAAGGCTTGAATTGTCTCGAGAGTATTGCTTTTGAAATGCTTTCATATATACATATATATAAATACCTCGGTTTGAATAACATGAAATTTTAATTGTTTAGAAAAAAAAACAAACAAACAAAATTCAAATCATCAAATGTTAATGAGAAAAAAAATCTTTCAATTTATCTTACTCTAGTGAGGGAGCAAAAAGGCTACAGAATTTTTGTACCAGCTGAAATAATTGCAGTTTGAACAATCAGTTTGGTTTTCAACGCGAGTCTACTGTTCGGCTTTTGCATAAAAAGGTACATTACTTAATTATACAAAATGACCATTTGTCTTGCCGTTTCAATCAATTTCATTTCAACTTAATCATGCTAAATAATTTCTTTAAAGGTATCATTCTGCATATAAAAGAAAACAGATATTTTGCTCCTGTAGTCCAACGCATTTGTCATCAGGGGTGCAAACAGGATCACAGGGGCCCATTGAACAAGAACAAAGTGATAACTATGAACTGCAGTATCTTGATGTTAACACAGAAAATAATTATTGTAATATGTGATGAAAAAGACGGATTGAGATTTCCATGTTTCAAAATGTATTAATATTCCCTTTTAAACAGTAGATCTATTTAAATAATTTTCCCTAGTTTAATTTTAAATTTCAATATCTGTTACTATGAAAAAAAAATAATAATCGCGAAATCTATCAACTTTTTCTTCAATTAAAATTCCTACGCAGAGTGTATATGGCGCGGATCTAAGAAGTCTGATTTTAATTAAAATGAATTTATATTTCTTAATTCAATGAACACATAATTTCATGGATCCACTCAACAACAAAATCACCGGAAATTGGTGCCTAGCGACAATTAATGAAACCACAGTATTTATCTCTAGCCAATTTCATACATCAAAATAACGTAGAGACTTTGTGCTCTTTCTTCCTGTAACAAAAGATTTTTTTTTGGACTCTAGGTATAGGTAAACAGGCTTTGTGAAAATGCAATTTTTTTTTTAATTTTGCAGAAAACAAGGGTCTTTGACTACCTTCAGCAAAGAATTAAAATATGAGCACAACCCTCGATCCAAAAATTAAAGCATGTTATTTTGTCTTCAAAAACAGATTTTTCGTTATGTAATTGAACATTTTAGATCAGAGGGGTTTTGCTGAATGTGCAATATAAAAATAAAATACCCCAATTTGTAACGAGAGAAAATATTACGTCATGTTCAATAGATACACGGTCACCAAGAGTCCCAGTGATGAATGCTCATTTTCAACCAAAACTAAGCAGTTTGAATTTTTCAGAAATTCACAGGGCCAGAAAAAGGAACCAAGTGGCTATTAGATTTTGTCGCGTTCTTTTAGTTTCTTTAATAAAATATTATATTGCTTCATGGAAAATGCCGCTCTTGCAGTTAGGTGGTCAGTCTCTTAAAACAGTAACTCTGTATTACGCAACTTCTATTTGGTTATAAAGTACAAGGTCCTCGGCAGCTTGGTGTTCAGAAAATCTGAGTCAAAATGTCTGTATCAAAGATTAAAGGCGTTGTCTAGAAGAATATTTGTAGGGTAGGTTAAATGGAAGATCATTTGAGTTATCTAACCTTAAGATATGTGACAATGTGATTTCCTAAGATGCATCTTTCAAACAAAAAAAGCTGCAGACAAGTACTCATATAAACTGAATGTTTTTAAGTCAACAGCATTTGATTTGGACATGCTCAAACTGACCTTTATGCAATGGCGCGTCTTATAATAGGAAAGGAAAATGATTCAGCTTCATTTCAGTACTATTCCAAACTCACAAATTTTTATTTACTTCTGTTTTAACTTCATATAATGGATACTGCTTGTTGGTGCATGAGTCTAAGGGCTAACTGCTAACTTTCTATTGTAAATTTTTTCTATGCATCGGGTTCAAATGAAGATTTTTGCGTTTTTAAAAATATGATATCCCCTTAAAAACTTCTCTTAAAGGTTATTTTTTCTACGTGTTCATGCTTTTGAAAGGATTCTGTACACAAATTTTTGGTCTTTTAAAAATGTTCACTGCATTAAAAAGATCATAAAATCG